ATTTCTTTTAACACTGGTTTGTCCAGAGCATTAAACTTGAATCTTGCCTCAGTGTCTGATAAAATAATCTTAATGCAAGGTATTTTTAATTAAAAGTTATTTCTATAGAGTATGTGTATATAGACTCAATTTGATGGAAACATGCAGATTCTCTTTATAAAGAGGCAAAGCAGAAAAGTAGCATCGTGCCACATTCAAGGGGCGAGGATTCAGTTTGTTTCTGAATGGCTTTATAGGACTACAAAGTACAGTCTTGCTGTTGAATATCTTAGTGCTGCACCAGGACATGATTATTACGTATTGGTTAACAGACTGGCTCTGAGAAATACCTTCCTTCTAGTTTCTGGCTGGAATGGTGTATTTCCATTTTTTTAATTCTTCCACTCTTGGCTGCATCTGGGATGGTGAGCCTGGAAGGATATAATGAAGACCCTGGAGGTTCTTTCCTTCTCCATTTTCCCACTCCTCCATGGTGATGATAGAAGTAGCTCACTCATCTCCTGATGGACACCACAAGCTTTGTAGTTTAACTGGTGTTTCCTGCTCTGATTGCTTGGACAGTGAGGAGCACTCCTAAGATATCAGGCACAGCAAACCGATAAACCATTTAGGGTCTCTGCTTGTAATGTCCTGAAGTAGAGTTGGCTGAGGATTACTGACTTAATTTGAAATGAATTCTGAGCAATTCAGAATCTTGATGGGAAAAGTAGATGTCCCTATAAACGTAAAAAGAATACTTTCAAATGAAGTAAACTTTTGAGGGAATAGGAGTGTTACCTAAGCTTGGCTGACTTAGTGCATTGCAGGGTAGGCCCTGGCAAACTTTACATGTAAGATACAATTAACCTGTTAATCATGCCATAAATTAAATGGCAGAACAAAATTGGAAACCACCTACAAAAATATTTTACAAGAGATGTATAATATTTTTGTGTGTGGTTTCCATTGCGCCTTAAATTGAACATGTGATAAGGTAGTAACAAACTGGAACCAGTTCCAGATTCCCACGAGGTTCTGGGGTTAGCATGACAAGAGGCAGGATTCTTAGGATCAGCAATCAGATCCTATGGTGACATTAAATGAACATGTGCCAGGCTGCCTTGCTTTTCAGTAGATCCTTTTGAGATTGCTGCTCCATAATATCAATAATGGTGAACAGCAACCTGTAACATGGGGAAATAGGTGCATTGTTCTTGCATAGCTCTTAGTAATTGACTCTTTTGACCAGTATTAATATCCTCATCCTATAAGAACATTTGTTGTCTTGCTAGCTTTATCTGCACAAGTGGACATTGATACTAAAGAGAATATAGACAGCCATTCTGTCTTTGTTCAGATACTTTCTCAAAATCCATCCTTGAAAAGGCTGGATCCTGATAAAAATGCTGTGGCAAAGACGAGATCCCCCATTACCATTCAGTGTGGGACTGAGAAAAAATAAGGGACTTGCTTAGTTGAACTCTT